CTAATAACAAATAAGACAAGTAAAACAAAGGACCGGGACTTGGTTGATTCAAGCTAAGATGCCAAATATTATACTAAGGATTAGAGAATTAAATCAAGGCATAAGGTAAGTGAGATGCACAAAAGTGTCCAAATACCACTTTCGTAGCTATTTGGACTTGCAACCTCACATTGAACTCCACTCTCCTGACAATTCAACCGTAGGATGCCCAAACAAGAACACAAGGCAAAGATTCCCCTTAACACCCAAAATACTCTCGTATTGGGTATTAAGTGTGTGAATGTGTGGCACAAACACACTCCAAATCAAGCATATAATTGGGATCCAACAATTATACACAAATTTCTCAACAAAGTCATTTCACACAACAACCCTAGATCACCCAAATAATCTCCTTTATGCAATACAACTCAAATAGACATCAATAGCAAGAAACCAAACCAAATCCTAGTCCCAAAACACTTAGCTACTCATAATATAACAATAGATACACAATATTAAAAGAGAAATTGAAAGCATAGATAAAAAATAAAGAGAAGAGATGAATAAGAAAACTTCTCTATTGAAGCCTTGAAATTCAAGATTTGCAATGTTCTTGAGCTTGGAAATGGAAAGGAAACACAAATCTACACTAATTTAAGTTATTCTAAACTAACCCTAACTAGAGAAATGAAAGGGGAATGAAAGATGTAATGAAAGATGTGTTTTGGGGTGGAAAAATCCCCTTAAAAGGGTAAAAAACGCGCTGTCAAAAAGTGCGGAGGGCTGGCCACGGGTGTGGCCACACCTGTAGCCAGAAAGGCCGTGTGTACTGCCCAGTGGCCACGGCCGTGGCCATACCCGTGGCCACCATGCAGTGATTTTTCTGTGCACTGCGACTGTCATCTAGGTACTTTTTCACCCTCTAAATGTGAATTAGCCTTTGGTGCTTGAATCAAAGTTGTAGCCCTTCAAGTTAGCTTTCCAATGATATAAAATTCACTTGGTTTGGACATTCCTACGCAGAGATATGATCAAAAAAACGAGCAGTGGACGATTTGTGCGGGAATTTCAACTTCTTGCTCTTTTACTCCACTTTTGCCTTTGTTTGTCCAAATGACCAAGACCAATAAACACACCATAATTTGGCTCTCTAAAAGGTGTTTCTCCATCTTCATAGCTTCTCATGACTCCCATTGGCTCTACAAGCATCCAAAATGCCCCAAAAATCACTCAATTCATCTAAATCATCAAGAATTACACATAAACACACAAATGAATCAAATGAGGATACTTTGGGCAAAAATATAACAAATAACAAGGAAAATAAGCTTAAATGTAAGGTGAAATTATACACTTTTAGACTCTTATCAATAATCAACAAAAATCTACAAAAAAATGTATTACTTATAGTTAACAATTCAAACCAAATAAATTAATAAATAATTCTTAAAAAAATAAAACTATAAATTTTATAATTATCAAACTAATAATCAATTACCACACTTGTTCTTGTGGTGGAATCACTTATTCTTGTGGTGGAAGTATACCTAAATTTGATGTCCCCTCTTTTTTGGTCATCTTTGGAAATATAAGAAAACAGAAGTGGGAAGAAAGAAATGCTTCCGTCCCACTGTCGCCGTCACGTTAATTACGGAGCATTTCTTTAATTTAACAGTCCATTATTCTTTCACACTAATGATTTACCAGACCACTATATTATTATTATTATTAATACAAATATATAGAGTAATGCCTTTTCGCACTGTCGCTGGTGAGACTCAATCACTGGTCATTCTTCTAAAATTTCAACTCTATGACCAGTTGAGCTGTCCATGCGAGTAATTTTTCCTTTATTTCTATTATAAGGTCATACATAACCAAATATAAATATTGATAATCATTCTAATTCCATCATATTGCCAAATATGCAAAATACTTTCACTAAAATCTATTACTATTACCAAGTATATGATTCTCATCCCAATTTTGATTCCCATATGAGAACCAAACACACCATTATGTATACAATTATGTTGCAAAATTATTAACTTCTACTTCAATCAAGCAACTGGGTTATGAATTATTCAAAAACACATACCATGAATATTAAGGATAAGAAAATCTCATATTACAAATGCATATTTTTTAAACACATTTTCTTTATCTTGTAATATATTTGTTGTTATTTTCTTTTTTTTTAAATATTTTTTATTTTTATTTAAAAATCATAATTTTAATTGTAAATTACTCCGTATATATATATTTTTTAAAGTAAACATATTTGCCCAATTCGCGGCCCGGGCTGCCAACTCGCGTGGGGTAGATAAAAGTTGACAATTTATATCCTACACCACGGCGCGCGTTGCACTGTTTGCCCAGATGCAAAATGACGTCGTTTTATTTATTTATTTTTTTTTTTTGAAATTCCCCGCCCCAGTGAATGGCAGTTATTTTTTTTTCAAAAAAAAAACCTCTGTTCAAAAATGTACATAATGTTATACTAGAATACACATAATTGTATACATGAATGTACATAATTATATAACAAAATATACATATTCTTTTTAAAAGATAATACACATAATCTAACATAATACATAATAAACATAAACTTTTAACATAATACACATCAACTCTTAACATAATACACACAAATTTTCTGATTCGAATGTACATAATTGTATAAAAAGAATGTACATAATTGTATAAAAAATCTACATAACTATATGAACAAATACACATAATTGTGTGAACAAATACACATAATTTCAAAAACTTTCTACCGCGCCTCCCAAAACGACGTCGTTTTGGGAGGCGCGCGGCGCACAATGCTCTGTGCGCCGTGGTATAGGGTATAACGATTGATAAAAGTTACTTAAATCCTAATTTGTGGGCCGTCCTGAAAAGTCAGCCAAAAATTAGACCCTAGTGGGCCGGCCTAATAAACCAGGCTGGCCTGCTTTAGCAGTCCGTCATTTCATTCTATATTAATTCGCGTTATGGTGTGCATCCGCATGCACCATGTGGTTCATACGGATGCAAAAACGACGTCGTTTTGACGTCTAACTTAAAAAAAAAAAAATCAGAATTGCATAACTACACATCCATAATTTCACTACACATCTATAATTTCATAATTATACATCCAGAATTGCATAACTACACTTCCAAAATTGCATAACTATAATTCCAGAATTGCATAACTACACATCCATAATTGCATAACTACACTTCCAGAATTGCATAACTACACTTCTAGAATTTCATAACTAAAAAATTCAAAACGAATAAACTAAAAATGAATAACATAATGTTGTTGCTGGGAATTGAAACTAATTTTTTGTTTTTTTTTTTTTAAGTAGGGCGCGCGTTTTATGCAAATCGACGTCGTTTTTACATCCGTATGCACCATGTAGGGTGCATACAGATGCACACCATAATTTGCCAATTCACTGGGAATCAATGTTTTTAACACTAGTTTCAATTTAAGCTTCCATTCAACTCACTTTGAACCTTACTCAATCGTAATAAGTAAGATGGTTCAGGAAATCATATAATAATAACTAAATATGCAAATAAAATCAAGGGAAAATAAAACACATTTGACCCCTAAATTATTTCACTTTGAGTCATACTTGTTTGAGATGAGTCTAATCTAGATTCTAGGATAGTTGTTTGTTAATCATAATATTTATTGCAAAAAATTTAATATCAATTTAAAATAAATAAATTGTTACTTTTTTTTTAAATGTTACTGGCCCTATTACATTGTAGTATCTATAACACCTTTACTGAGGCTCGAACTCATAACCTTCCAGATGGAAGTCCAACCCGGGTATCATTAAACCACATAGTCTTGGTAATAAATTGTTACTTATAATATATATTGTAATATTTATATGTGAAATTGTGATACTATTTAGGGTAATATTGTATTATTTATAATTGAAATTGTGATACTTACAAAGTGTAAGTCTAATTCTAATGTAAATATTTTAATACTTATATGTGAAATATTATTTATTAAAAAAATTACATGACTTATTGTAGAAAATTTAATACCAAATTGAATAAAAAATAAATCATTACTTTTGTTAGATATTGTAATACTTATATGTGGAATTGTGATGTTATTAAGGTAAAGTTGAATATTACTAATGATAAATATCATATTATTTATAATTAAAATTTTGATACTTATACAACTTGATCCGTTTCACAGATAAAGATTCATAAGACCGTGTACGCAAAATTTTGCCTTAATGGATTGTTTGTGAAGTTGGGTAGTATCAATATAATGTAGCATGATACTATTTTGTGTAATTGATTATAGTTAATATACCCTAAAATTATATGATAGTGACTTCTATTTTTATTAATTTTAAAATACATTTTTAATCAATCATCAATTATAATAAGTTTTAAAAATCCAGTTTTTCTATGAGAAAAGTATGAAAATTATTATTATTATTATATTATATCGACTCAATGACTAATAATATGATAAATTTTCCTCTTCAAGACAAGTACTTTTTCTTACTAAATTAGGCCTATTGAACAACGTTAACAATAAGAACGCGTAGATAGCGACAAAATGTTTCATGGCAAGCATATCTCCAGAGATTAAAATCTTCTCATTATGTTGTTTGTTTAATGATTGTTTGTGAACATAAATTAATTCTTGTTTATGAGTAAATTATGATTATGAACATGTATATGTATTAGTTGTCAAGACCTTGTAGTCTAATGACACTCGTGTTGGACTCCTATATGGAAGGTTGTGAGTTCTAATATTAATGAACATGTAAAAAAAAAAAAAAAAAATTTCATTTTCATTATAACAAACGAGTTCGATTCGTTAACGTCCTACTATGAAGCCAAACTTTGATACCGTTTAGCAGCATATTTATTTCTTTGTAATTCTGTAAAAGCTATCCGGTCACCTTTCATTCAGCATATATTCCTTCAATTCGTTTCAAGATGATTATGCCTGCCAAGAGCCCAAGACTGAAGAGGACTCCAGTTGTGAAGTTGAATGTTAAAAAGGAGAAAATGCTCTTTCCATGACAAATTGACTCGTTCACTACGTAGATAAGGTTGGCTTCAAGAAGACAACAACTTCGGAACCCAATTTTGACTACAACTATTTTTCGTAACCTCATTAATTAACTTCAGAGCGATAGAGTCTATGGAATAGACCATTCATCCCCGATAAGGTTCTCCGCTTGCGGCAGTTTTGTGCCATATGATGAAAACTTCATTCCTTCCACGGCTTTTGCTGCTGCTGCTGCAGATAATATTTGGGATGGACATCCTTGTGGTCTCCGGCCAATGCCAGAGATCGAAGTTGCTCCAGCTGAAGGGAAGCTTGAAGTTCGACCCAACAGTTTCAACCAAGCTTGCACACTGGAACCAGAGCAGGGAATGTTGTGTTTGGCCTGGGGTGGAATGTGACGACTCAGGCCATGTCATCGGCTTAATTCTTGACAATGAGACGATTACAGGTGGGATTGAGAATTCAAGGGCTCTACTCAGTCTTCAATACCTTGAGAAGCTAAATTTGGCTTTCAACACCTTCAATTCCACTCCAATCCCAGTTCAGATTTACAAGCTTACCAACTTGACATATCTCAATTTGTCAAATGCTGGTTTTGGAGGGCAGATTCCGAATGGAATATCAGGACTGAAAAGGTTGGTTACTCTTGACCTCTCAACCCGCTTCCCAATTGGTCCACCACTTAAACTTGAGAATCCAAATCTAGAGGAATTCTTTGAGAACTCCATACAAGTTAGAGAACTTTATCTTGATGGTGTTGATCTTTCTGCTCAAAGGAGTAACTGGTGTCAGGCCTTATCTTCATCTTTTCCAAATTTAACAGCCTTGAGCTTGCGAAACTGTCGACTTTCAGGCCCTATTGATCCTTCCCTTGGGAAACTTCATTTCCTTTCTGTTATCCACCTAGATCAAAATGATCTTTCCAGTAGTGTCCCAAAGTTTTTGGCAAATTTTTCAAACTTGAGTACCTTGAGCCTAAGCACTTGTAATCTACAGGGTGCGTTTCCTGGAGAGATCTTTCAGACAAAAAGTTTAAAGGAAGTGATGATACAAAACAATCAGAATCTGAGTGGCAGTTTCCCCTCATTTCCTGTTAATGGATCCCTTAGGATGGTTTCAGTAAGTGACACTCAATTTTCTGGTTCGTTGCCAGCTTCTATCAGTAAGCTTAGAAACTTGTCCAGTATTGATCTCTCCTTCTGTAAATTCAGTGGACCAATTCCCTCTACAATGGCACAACTTATGAGTCTTATTTATATGGATTTCTCATTTAACAACTTCACTGGCTCAATCCCACATTTCCAGCTGTCAAAGAACCTTTCCTACATAGATTTTTCTCGTAATGGCCTAACAGGTCCACTTTCTTCCAAACATTTTGAAGGCCTTTCAGAAATTGTGAATATAGATTTAATGTCTAATTTACTCTCTGGAAGAATTCCCCAATCTCTTTTTTCACTTCCATCATTGCAGAAACTTGTGCTTTCGAACATTAAATTTGATGGTCAAGTTGATGAATACCTGAATGTATCTGCGTCTCAAATGGATACACTTGACTTGAGTTCTAACCGTCTAAATGGGTCCATTCCGGGGTACTTCTTTGAATTTCCAAAGCTGAATGTGCTGTTACTTTCTTCCAACTCCTTCAATGGAAGGATACAGTTCGAAAGTCTCCAAAAGCTCAAGAACCTCACAAGATTTGAGCTTTCTCACAACAATTTGTCAGTCGATGTAAGTACCAGTACTTCAGCCTCCTCATTTTTTCCCAAGATTACAACATTGAAAATGGCTTCTTGTGGATTACAAAAGTTTCCAGATCTTAGAACTCAATCAAGTATGATCTATTTAGACCTGTCAGACAATGAAATTAGAGGGGAAATACCAAACTGGATATGGAATGTGGGTAATGGAAGTCTGGCTCATCTGAATCTTTCCTGCAATTTCTTAGATGGTCTAGAAAAGCCTTATACAATTCCAACCAGTCTTATAGTACTGGACTTGCACTCCAATCAACTGCAAGGCGAACTTCCGATTGGAGTAGCCCCAGCTCTGGATGCTACGTATCTTGATTACTCAAACAATGTTTTCAATGGTTCCATCCCATTTGATCTTGGAAATTATGCTCCATATGCTTCTTTCTTGTCTCTTTCAAAAAATAGCTTCACTGGGACAATTCCTGAATCCATATGCAATGCAAGCTATCTGCAGGTGCTTGATCTATCCAACAATAAGCTGAGTGGCACACTTCCATCCTGTCTATTCAACATTACTGGGATTGAGACTATTGGACTTGGAGTACTAAACCTTGCAGAAAACCAAATCAGTGGTAACATACCTGATTCCTTCCCAACTAATTGTGCTCTAAAAACATTAGACCTCAGTAGGAATTTCTTTGAAGGGAAGATTCCAAAATCTCTAATAAATTGTTCATCATTGGAAGTTCTGAATGTTGGGAGCAACAAAATTGTAGATACCTTTCCATGCCCATTGGAAAACATATCAAGCCTGCGTGTCCTAGTCTTGCGGTCCAATCAATTCCATGGTGAGCTTCACTGTGGTAATGCCAATCATAGTTGGCCGAATCTTCAGATTATTGATATTGCTTCCAATAAGTTCAGTGGCAAACTCTCTCCAACATGCTTCTTGAACTGGAAAGGAATGATTTTTGGTGAAGATACGGTGCAACCAGTGCAACACATCAGGTTTGATTACTTGAGACTTAATAATTTGTACTACCAGGATACAGTAATGGTAACCATAAAAGGGATGGAGACAGAACTTGTGAAAATTCTTACAATCTTCACATCTGTTGATTTCTCAAACAATAATTTCCATGGGATTATACCAGATACCATTGGGGCACTCAATTCACTTTACTTTCTCAACCTATCACACAATGCTCTCACAGGGAATATCCCAGAAACAATTGGAAATCTGAAAACGATTGAGTCCTTAGACCTTTCATCAAACCAGCTAGGTGGAGAGATCCCAACACAGATTGTAAAGCTGACATTCCTATCATTTTTGAATCTATCATTCAATAGACTTTCTGATAGTATTCCAACAGGCAATCAGCTTAATACATTTGAAGCAAGTTCCTATTTGGGTAATCCAGAACTGTGTGGTTTCCCTCTCTCAAAAAGTTGCAAATCTCCAATAAGATCCCGTGGTGGCGATTCTAAGAATTGGGTGGTGGGCAGTCTAAGATCAAATGGGAATACGTAACTTCTGCTTTGGGATTCATTGTGGGTTTAAGTGTGTACCTTTGGATGCTTTTGCATAACAAGAGATGCAGGGAAGCATACCAACAACTTGACAAAGTTTTAGTACGACGATTCGGTCAGGGAAGAAAATCTCCAGGGCGCAGAGTTCGCAGGAACCGAATCAGATCACTCTAAGCTGCAACCTGCAGGCCAGTAATATAATCTTGATATATAGTTTGTTTCATTAAAAAAATAAAAGTTATGATGTGTTAGTAATTTGAGAATATTTAGGTTTAATTTCTTTGCAGGGGTGATGTATATTGTTGGGCGGAAAATTTGTTTCAAATTTATCCTTCTTCTTCTTCTTCTTCTTGTTTTTTTTTTTTTTTTTTTTTTTTTTTTCTTTTTTTGATGTGTTTCAAAGTTTCTGAATATTTATTTTGTCTCCATGAAGTTTGGGGATACAAAGGTAAATTATTATATCATTAATATAATTGTCAAAGTTAATACTTGTGGACTACCTATTTTGCTTTAACAACCATATTCAAACATGTTACATAACATTCACATCCTCATTGAATTTTTTAAGTGCATTTAAAGGAGTTTCAACGGAGTTGGTCAGATTGATAATAAAAAAAAAAACTTTTTCAAAGTAGCTCTAACAATGTTGGTCAGACAGTTAGTTTGATAATTACATAATTTTAAGTTTGACTCATCGGTGACCGTTGTTTATTAATATTCTTAGTTTAAAATATGGGATGAGAGTTTTTTTTTTTAATATTTATAAGATAGGCTTTTAACTTGGCTCCAAGGTTGATAAATACATAAATGAATATATTTTATACATTCCCAAAATCAATTGTCCACTAAATAAAGAGATAGTAAGACACTAAATCAATTGAATTTGTTCTTTGGGTCAGCTCCCAGAGAGGGGTCCCTCTGGTAACTCCAACGTAACTTCTAATCTTGTTGCATGAGGTGTTGCTAGCAGCGAGTCACGAACAATTGTTGCTCCTTTAGAGCGTTTAAACATATTACTTAGAGGATTATTCAAAGGGTATATTATGGCTATACCATGAGTAACTTGGCAATGAGGATGCTTAGCTCACTCTAATTTGTTGGGTCTAACTTGTGTTGGCATAATTGCCATGTCTACAACATACCCAATGGACATGGTTGGAGGCTGAATTATTGTATAGACAGCAAATTCCCCTTATCAGTACAGGGGAATGTTTCATGCATTATATTATCAACCATGTTCAGAGGATCAAAGAAAATGATCGGTTTGAAGCTGAGGTGGAATTCTATATGAATAAATAAATCAGACACAACCATTAAAGTTGAAGTTAAAATTAAATCAAAGAGAAAATTTTAATTTTGGTCATATGACTATAGGGGTTTTGTTAATTTCAGCACATGATTTTCAAAAGTGTCAATTTAGTACCTTGACTATGCAATTTTTATCAATTTTGGTTACTCCGGTTAAATTGCTTGTCAAATTTCATCAAAAAATTTTAACTATTAAAATAATAAGGGTATTTTAGTCATTTCACATATCTTCCTTCTTCTCCGGTGAATTCCTTTTTTCCGGCGGAGAACACCATCGTCGCGATCCGGGTCGCCCCGACCCGCGTCAACACCTCGAGGCTCAACGCCGACGATGTTCACGCCAAACAGCCTCAGTTGCTTTGTAGCAGCTTTGCCTTAGACCACCGGCACCGACTCGTACACCATTGCTCATGTGCGCTCTCTACGATGCCGTTTTCTCCGCTTCAAACCCTTCCAGAACCATTACAAACACAGAGATACATACCTGCGGGGACATGGTTGAGGGCGATGCCAGTGTTATTAAGGGCCTGCTGAACCGATGGCGAGATCTTGGTAGTATCCCCGTAAGCGGAGATGGATATGGGCCAGCAATAGTTCAATTTGACCAACGCCAAGCTAATATTCTGCGCGATCGGATCGCGTGCTACTGTAGTGACCAAAATTCACCGGGAAAAGAAAAGAATTCGCCAAAGAATAAGGAAGAGATGTGAAATGACTAAAATACCCTTATTATTTTAACTGTTAAAATTTTTCGGCAAAATTTGGCCGGCAATTTGACCGGAGTGACCAAAATTTATAAAAATTGCATAGTTAAGGTACTAAATTGACACTTTTGAAAGTCATGTGCTGAAATTAACAAAGCCCCTATAATCATATGACCAAAATTGAAATTTTCTCTTAAATCAAATTATTAGTCAAAAACTAAATTAAATAAAAAAATATTGTTACAGTAGATGACTAAATTGAGAATTTAATTTAATATTTTTGTTTTGGTGACAACCGCCATCTCCCAAAGCGGACACTATTTGACTTTTCAGAGATCAGCACACATATTTCCTTCCCTCATAATCTGCGTAAAGATAACCTCCTCAAATCCCGAGACAATGAATTTACAATCAGAGATGAGCGTGATGGCAAAGTCACTAAGGGCATGGTTGTCACTCATTACCTTGACCACCGCCTCTGAGTCCAATTTCGCAACAAACCGCCCGAAACTCATTCTTTACCAAGTCATAGAACCTCTCTTAGGCCCCACAACTCAGCAAAGAAAATATTTGTGACACCCATGTTAACCACCGACCCACATGGCTTTAACCCCATAAGCTGTATTCCTTTTAGCCAAGATTCTTACCGCTTCTCTCGCAAGAACACTAACCATATCAATAACCTCCTTGACATTCCTATGAACTCCATTGAACACTTTGTTGTTCCGTGCCTTCCACAGCCCCCAAAGATTGTAGGAGAATTCAACCCCCCAAGTTGTCCCATCATTGAGTCATTCTTGACTAGAGCAATTATCCTTAACCCAACATGTCGGGCTAGGAGAAGCACGCCGACAGTCTCGTGCTGCAACACAACCTCGGAAGTGGTGATCAAGGCTCTCCTCCTCCTCCCTACACCGGGCAATCCACGTTGTCAGTCAAATGCCTGTTGCGGCGTTCCATGTTAGTTAGAAGCTTCTCGTTGACCATGAGCCACACGAACAACTTCACTTTCTCCATGCAATTGATCTTCCATATCCAGGCAAACTCTTCCATATCCAAGCAGACTCTTCTCCCCCCTCCTAATTACCTGCAATCAAATTTAAAGCAGAACGCACCAAAAATTTACCTGACAACAAAGATTGCCAACAAAACTTGCAGAGATTGGAATCGCCCGAATACACTCAACGAGATCATGCAAGATGATGTCACTGAGTTTTGGCAGGTCCCAGCCCCGATTATCACAGATGAATCACTCACTTTAGCGCAAAAAATATTTACAAGATGAAAACTTACAAACGCAAAAGATAGATTTAAAATTTTTATTAATTAAAACAAATAGCACAAAAACATGCAACACCTTCAAAAGTTATTACACTTAAATATTGTCCAGATGATAATAACACAAAAAAAATGCACGGAAGGAGAGGTATCACCACCATAATCACTGATCCCAGCAGTCTGCATTCATACCTACAAAAGTGAAGTGGATAAACATGAAAAAGTGTTTGGTGTGTGATCAACGGTGTTTATATGAAAAATTTGTGCCATATTGGAAGTAATCAAGATTACCCGAAGGTTGCAGCTTAGAGTTATCAGAACCTGTTCCTGTGAACTCTGCGTCTTGGTCCTGGAGATTTTCTTCCGCGTTGTCGGGGACCGAATAGCCGTATTAAAACTTCGTCAAGTTGTTGGTATGCTTCCCTGCATCTCTTGTTATGCAAAAGCATCCATAGGTACGCCCCTAATCCCACAACGAATCCCAAAGCACAAGTTACGTATTCCCATTTGATCTCAGAGGGGCCACCATCAAATTCTATCTCAGATCGGCTGCCATTGGAGGTTTTTGGTGATTTGCAACTTTTTGGGAGAGGAAAGCCACATAATTCTTGATTGCCTAGGTAAGAATCTGGTCCAAATGTATTAAGTTGATTGCCGGTTGGAATCACACCAGAAAGTCTGTTGAATGATAAATTCAAGAATGAAAGGAATGTGAGTTTCGCAAGCTCTACTGGGATCTTTCCATTTAGTTGGTTTGCTGAAAGGTCTAAGGACTCAATCGTTTTTAGATTTCCAATTGTTTTGGGGATATTTCCTGTGAGAGCATTGTGTGATAGGTTAAGAAAGTAAAGTGAAGTGAGAGCTCCAATTGTATCTGGTATAATCCCATAGAAATTATTGCATGAGAAATCAATAGATGTGAAGACTGTGAGAATTCTCTCAAGTTCCATCTTCATCCCTTTCACAGTTAGCGTTACTTTAACTTCATAGTTGTAATCACTTAATTTCAAGTAGTCAAACTTGATGTTATGCCCAGACTGTGCAGGATCTTCCTCAATAGTCATTCCTTTCCAATTTAACAACTTTGGGGAGAGTTCTCCAATGAAATTATTGGAAGCAACATCTATAATCTGAAGATTTGGCCACATGTGATTGGCATTAACACAGTGAAGGTCACCATAGAATCCATTGGATTCCAAAACTAGGACACGCAGGCTTGATAAGTTCTTCAGTGGGCACGGAAACGTATCTACAATTTTGTTGCTCCCAACATTTAGAACTTCCAATGATGAACAATTTATTAGAGATTTTGGAATTTTCCCTTGAATGAAATTCCTGCTGAGGTCTAATGTTTCTAGAGCACAGGTACTTGGAAAGGAATCAGGTATCTTACCACTGATTTGGTTTTCCCCAAGGTTTACTCCAAGGATCCCAGAATTGTTCAATAGACAAGATGGAAGTATGCCACTCAGCATATTGTTGGATAGATCAAGTATGACCAGACTACTCGCATTGCATATGGATTCAGGAATTGTCCCGGTGAAGCTATTATTTGAAAGGGACAAGAATAAAGCATTTGTAGCAAAATTCCCAAGACCAAATGGGATGGAACCATTGAAAAAATTGTTTGAGTAGTCAAGATAACCAAAGAAATCACTATGGGCAGATGCAATAGGAAGTGGGCCTCGCAATTGATTGGAGTGCAAGTCAAGTTCAAAAAGACCGTCTGGAATTGTATAAGGTTGTTCAAGACCATCTAAGAAATTGCAGGAAAGATTTAGACTACCTAGATTTCCATTACCCACTCCCCATATCAAAGATGGTATTTTCCCTTTAATTTCATTGTCTGACAAATCTACAAACATCAACTCTGGAAATTCAAAGAAATATTTCGGAAATAACAAATTTATTAGATGGTTAGAACTCAAATCGAGACTTTCCAACTGTGAGGTAGATACATTCACATATTCATCAACAAGACCATCAAATGAATTGTTGGAAAGATCTAGTGTCTGTAATGATGGAATTGAAAACAGAGATGATTGTATCCTTCCACTTAAGGAGTTCGAAGAAAGTAACAACTTACCCAGCATTGGAAATTCAAATAAATACTTTGGAAAGGACCCATTTAGACGATTATAACTCAAATCCAGAATTCTCAATGGTGAGACAGACACATTCACATATTCTTCAACAAGACCATCAAATGAATTGTTAGAAAGATCTAGTGTATCCAATGATGGAAGTGAAAATAAAGATGATTGTATCCTTCCACTTAAGGAGTTGGAAGAAAGCAACAACATAGTCAACTTTGGAAATTCAAAGAAGTACTTTGGAAAAGACCCATTTAGACGATTAGAACTCAAATATAGACTTTCCAATTGTGAGTCAGATACATTCACATATTCATCAACAAGACCATCAAATGAATTGTTGGAAAGATATAGGCTCTGTAAAGATGGAAGTGAAAACAGAGATGGGGGAATTCTTCCAGAGATATAATTTGACTCAAAATTTATGTACACAATTTTTGAAAGGTGTTCAAAATGTTTAGAAGAAAGTGGACATGTCAGGCCATTAAAAGAAAAATCTATGCTAGTAAGGTTCTTTGACGATTGAAAATTTGGGATTGAGCCGGTGAATTTGTTATGCGAGAAATCCACATAAGTGAGACTGGTAAGTTGTGCCATGGTAGAGGGAATTGATCCACTGAAATCGCAACCGTAGAGAACGAGCCTAGACAAGTTGCTAAGATTACTAATGGAGGGTGGCAAGGAACCAGAAAATTGAGTGTGAGCTACTGAGATCATCCTAAGTGATCCATTCTCAGGAAATGATGGGATACGGCCACTAAGATCATCATTGTATTCCAAACTCAATTCCAGTAAACCTTGTATCTGAAATATCTCTGTTGGAAATGATCCCTGAAGATTACATTGACTGAGGCTCAAGGTTTTGAGGTTAGAGAAATTGGCTAAGAATTTTGGAACTCTACTTGAAAGATCAACACCATCAAGATAAAGTTGTATAAGTTGAGTCGAGTTCTCAAAGAATTGGTTTAGATTTGGAATCTCAAGATGAATTATCAAATTGGGATGGGTTGAGAGGTCAAGAGTTACCAACCTTGTGAGTCTTGATATTCCATTGGGGATCTGCCCTCCAAAACCAGCATTTGACAAATTGAGATATGTCAAGTTGGTAAGATTATAGATCTGAACTGGAACTGGAGCTGGAACTGGAATGAAAATTGTATTGGAATGGAAGTTGTTATAAGCCAAATTTAGCCTCTCAAGGTATTGAAGACTGAATAGAGCACTTGAACTGTTAATACCATCTGTAATAATCCCTTCATTGTCGAGAATCAAGCTGATGACATGACCTGAGGTGTCACATTCCACCCCAGCCCAAACACAACAGTTGTCGTGTGTGCTGTGGTTCCAGCGCGCAAGCTTGGTTGAAGCTGTTGAGTCGAACACCAGGCTGCTGCGGAACTGCAACAACAACATTTTCTGATGGCTCAAGCATTGGGATTGGGCTGCCACCATTTGGAGCAGCAAGCAGGAGGATATGAAGAAGAAAAGGCGGTATTCAAGGAGTGGAGTTTTCATTGCACAAACAGAGTTTAAGGCTCAATCTATAACAATTTTGGGATGCTTTTAACTTTGAAGTGAAGTGAATGCATGAGGTTAACAACAACAATATATATATATAGACTGGCCGGCCAACCTTTAGCTTATAACGGTATTACATTATTGAAGACGACTCTGGTTTCCGAGAAAGTGATCTGATGAGAAGCCAATAATATATACTCCAGCTTGTAATTCACGTTGATAGGATGTAATCTCCAATCTCAAAGGTTGACCGCCACTCAACAGTCAACATATAAATGCAAAGCCTCATAATAATTCCAAGAAATCAATATGCATGTTTTGTGTAGCGGCCGGCCAATTTATTAAATAAATAAATATTAATCTTTTCCACATCTACTAATAAACTATTTAAGACGTCGATCAATATTATTAAATTTTTACAATATGAGTGTGACTTATATTTTAGATTATTGTTGTGATATGACATGTTCAAAGTCAATTCAAACTCAATTGATACTCATTTTAAAAGAATGATATTTTCAAATATTGTTATTCCCTTGTTACTAAAACACTTTGAAAGCAACTAAGGTATTTTGTATCTCATAAATTTTAATATTTATATTCTCTTATTACCAGGTAATCTGAGATCGCTTGAATCAAACTCCCCTTAAGGCATCCTCAATAGTAAGGATTTTGGTGCAGTTTTTGAGGAGTTTTTGGAGGTGTGATTAGAAAAGAGAAATAGGTGAAAAAGGAAAAAAAGAAAAGGAAAAATAAAAAACAAAATCAAAAACTAAAAAAAAAAAATGAATTTACACGTTCAGTACTGCACGCGCCCGCCTGAGCGCGAGAGTTGCGCCTCACACGCGTGAGGCGCAGCTCTCTTCTCCAACAATGGGACCCACATTTATGACAAAATCTTCATTCTTGCAAGAGACACTCCCCTCTCTCTCTCCTCTCTTCTTCACCTTGCCATTTTTTTCTTAAAATTTGTGCACAATTCCCTTATTGGGGTTGCTCTTAATCAATATGTCAAATTTCAAGATACGGCAATTAGGCAAACATTCACCAACAAAAACTTACAAATACTTAAAAGGATATATTTAAAACATTTCTTAAATAAAAGACATGGGTTACCCGACAATATGCAACACCTTCAAAAGTAAAATAGTCCAATTAATAACAGCAAATATACTAAACTTACTAAGCTAGAGTACCACTGGGACTTATCACCACCATAATCACAGAGCTTAGCATTAATACCTACAAAATGAAGTGGAGTGAATAATCAATATTTAATAATAAAAAAATTTAATTGTATCACGTTGGGGTAATCAAGATTACCTGCAGGCAACAACCTAAAGTGATCATATTCAGTTCCTGCGAACTATGCTCTTTGGACATTTTCTTCTTCGTTGCCGTGGCCCGAATAGTCGTATTAAAACATCGTCAAGTTGTTGGTATGCTTCCCAGCATCTCCTGTTATGGAAAAGCATCCACAGGAAGACGCCTAAACCCACAGTGAATCCCAAAGCAGACGTTACGTATTCCCATTTGATCTCAGATTGGCCACCACCCAATTCTATCTCAGATTCGCCGCCACTGGAAGTTGTTGGTGATTTGCAACTTTTTGGGAGAGGAAAACCACACAATTCTTGATTGCCTAGGTAAGAATTTGGTCCAAATGTATTAAGTTGATTGCCTGTTGGAATCATACCAGAAAGTCGGTTGAATGATAAATTCAAGACCGAAAGGAATGTCAGTTTTGCTAGCTGTGTCGGGATCTCTCCACCTAGCAGATTTGCTGAAAGGTCCAAGGATTCGATCATTTTCAAATTTCCAATTGTTTCAGGGATATTCCCTGTGAGAGCATTATGTGGTAGGTTGAGAACGTAAAGTGAAGTGAGAACCCCAATCCCAATGGTATCTGGTATAACCCCATGGAAATTATTGCATGAGAAATCAACCGATGTGAAGACTCTGAGAATTTTCACTATTTCCATCTCCATCCCTTTCCACGTTACCATTATTCTATCCTGATAGTAGTGACCATCAATTTCCGGGAGGTTAAACATGATATACTTTCCCGACTGCACAATATCTTCATCAATAGTAGTCATTCCTTTCCAAGTTAACAACTTTGGGGAGAGTTTTCCACTGAAATGATTGGAAGCAATATCAATAATTTGAAGATTTGGCCACATATGATTTGCATCAACACACTGAAGGTCACCGTGGAAGCTATTGGATCGCAAGACTAGCACACGCAGGCTTGATAAGTTCTTCAATGGACATGGGAAGGTATCTACAATTTTGTTGCTCCCAACATTCATAATTTCCAATGATAAACAATTCATCAGAGATTTTGGAATTTTTCCTTCAAAGGAATTCCTACTGAGGTCTAATGTTTGTAGAGCACAGTTGATTGTAAAGGAATCTGGTATGTTACCATGGATTTGATTTTTCCCAAGGTCTAATACTCGAAGACGCTCAAAACTATTAAATAGACAGGATGGAAGTATGCCACTCAGCTTATTTTTGGATAGATCAAGTATATCCAGAGAGCTAGCATTGCATATGGATTCAGGAATTGTCCCAGTGAAGCTATTATTTGAAAGAGACAAGAAAAAAGCATTTGTAGCAAAACTTCCAAGACCGAATGGGATGGAACCATTGAAACAATTGTGTGAGTAATCAAGATAACTATATCCATCAGTAGGGGTAGGTGCAATAGGAAGTGGGCCTTTCAATTGATTGGAGTGCAGGTCAAGTACATAAAGACTGCTTGGAATTGTATAAGGCTTTTCAAGACCATCTAAGAAATTGCAGGAAAGATTCAGAAAACCTAGAGTTCCATTACCCAATTCCCATATCCAGGATGGTATTTCCCCTCTAATTTCATTGTTCGACAGATCTAATACGTAGAGGTTGGTGAGCTTTAGGAGACTTTCAAACTGTATCCTTCCCCCTAATGAGTTGGAAGAAAGTAACAAGTGATTTAGCTCAGGAAGTTCAATGAAGTATTCCAGAATTGACCAATTCAGAGAGTTAGAACTCAAGTCAAGCCTATACAATTGTGAGGAAGATAAATTCACATATTTATCAACAAGACCATCAATTGAATTGTTGGAAAGATCTAGTGACTGCAATGATGGAAGTAAAAACAAAGATGATTGTATCTTTCTACCTAAGGAGTTGGAAGAAAGGAGCAGCTCACTCAACTTTGGAAATTCAAAGAAGTACTCTGGAAATGACCCATTTAGACGATTAAAACTCAAATCAAATTTTTCCAATTGTGAAGCAGATACGTTCACATATTCATCAAAAACACCGTCAAATGAGTTGTTGGAAAGATATAGCAACTTCAATGATGGAAGTGAAAACATAGATGGTAGTATCTTTCCACCTAAGGAGTTGGAATAAAGTAATAACTCACTCAGTTTTGGAAATTCAAAGAAATAATCTGGAAATAACCCATTTAGATGGTTAGAACTCAAATCAAGAAATTCCAATTGTGAGGCAGATACATTCACAAATTCATCAACAACAAGACCATCAAATGAATTGTTAGAAAGATCTAGCTTCTTCAATGATGGAAGTGAAAATATAGATGATTGCAACTTTCCACAAAAGGAGTTGGAATAAAGTACCAAGTCACTCAGCTTTGGAAATTCAATGAAATACTCTGGAAATGGGTTATTTAAACAATTAGAACTCAAATCAAGTGTTTCCAATTGTAAGGCAGATACATTCACATATTCATCAACCATACCATCAAATGAATTGTTGGAAAGATCTAACCACTTCAAAGATGGAAGTGAAAACAGAGATGGTAGTATCTTTCCACCTAAGGAGTTGGAAGAAAGTAATAACTTACTCAGCTTTGGAAATTCAAAGAAGTACTCTGGAAATGATCTACTTAGACGATTAGAACTCAAATCGAGTTTTCCAATTGTGAGGAAGATACATTCACATATTCATCAACAATACCATCAAATGAATTATTGAAAAAATAGTGTCTGCAATGATGGAAGTGAAAACAGGAATGTGGGAATTCTTCCAGAGATAAAATTTGACCCCAAATTTATGCACACAATTTTTGAAAGGCCTTCAAAATTTTTAGAAGAAAGAGGACCGGTCAGGCTATTGTAAGAAAAATCTGTGGTAGTAAGTTTTTTTGACCGACGAAAATGTGGGATTGAGCCAGTGAAGTTGTTATACGAGAAATCTACAGAAGTGAGACTCGTAAGTTGTCCCATTGTTGAGGGAATTGATCCACTGAATTTGCAGTGGGAGAGATCTATCCTGGTCAAGTTGCTAAGTTTACTGATGGATGCTGGCAACGAACCAGAAAATTGAGTGCCAGCTAATGAGATCATCCTAAGTGATCCATTCTCAGGAAATGATGGGAAACTGCCACTAAGATCATTATTGAATTTCAAATTCAATTCCTGTAAACCTTGTATCTCAAATATCTCTGTTGGAAATGCTCCCTGTAGATTACAATCACTGAGGCTCAAGGTCTTGAGGTTAGAGAAATTGGCTAAGAATTTTGGAACTCTACTGGAAAGATCAACACCATCAAGATAAAGTTGTCTAAGTTGAGTCGAGTTCTCAAAGAATTGGTTTAGATTTAGAATCTCAAGATTAAAAAGCAAATCGGGATCGGTTGAGAGGTCAAGAGTTACCAACCTTGTGAGTGTTGATATTCCATTCGGGATCTGCCCTCCAAAACCAGCATTTGACAAATTGAGATATGACAAGTTGGTAAGATTATAGATCTGAACTGGAATTGGAATGGAATTGAAGGTGTTGAAAGCCAAATTTAGCCTCTCAAGGTATTGAAGACTGAATAGAGAACTTGAACTGTGAATACCATCTGAAATGGCTTCCTTGTCGAGAATCAAGCTGATGACATGACCTGAGGTGCCACATTCCACCCCAGGCCAAACACAACAGTTGTCGTGTGTGCTGTGGTTCCAGCGCGCAAGCTTGGTTGAAGCTGTTGAGTCGAACTCCAGGCTGCTCCGGAACTGTAACAATAACATTTTCTGATGGCTCAAGCATTGGGTTTGGGCTGCCACCATTTGGAGCAGCAAGCAGGAGGATATGAAGAAGAAAAGGCGGCATTCAAGGACTGGAGTTTTCATTGCACAAACAAAATTATATTAAAGGCTCAATCTATCACAATTTTGGGTGCTTTGAATTCAAGTGAATGCATGAGATTATATATATATCAAGTTTCTTTAGTCTATAGTTGCAGCTCGTTAGATTGCCAAGGTCGTCGTAGTTTACTAAAGTCATAATGTCAGTGGAGTCGTCTGATCTCGACAGGCGGTCAACCTTAGCTTGTAGTTGAGGGTGATAGGGATTGGAGAAGACTCTGGTTTCTGAGAAGCCAACCTTGGCTTGTAATTCACGTTCATAGGAAGTATAAATGTATAATAATCCCCAATCTTAAAGGTTGACCGTAAGTGAATATATAAATGCAAAGATTCATAATTCCAAGCAATCAAAATGTTTTGTGTAGCGGCCAATTTATTAGATAAATATTAATTTATTCCACATATTAATGCAAATATTAATATATGACCTTGTGATGGGTGAAGAAACATTGGATAGTTTCAAAATTGCAAATCATAATTTTTTGGACAAGAGCGTCTCACGGATCCTTGTCTGTAAGGTGAGTCGAGTTAAGATAAAATGTCATACTTATATTGAAAAATGTAATACTAATAAGGAATAAAATGTTTATTACTTATATTGAAAAATGTAATACTTTTTTCATGTGGCGGACTATTCACGGTCCCCCCGGATAAAAATGCAGTGATCTGTACCGGAGCTCTGTACCGCGGGGGATCGACCTGACGCTTGAAGGTGAAACTAGTCCTTCTTTGGCTTTCGAGCACCGTTCCCACCCTTTGTGTAGGGCATGACGCCCAGGAATTGTCCAGCTTTGCATGTGGTACAGGTAGTTTGTAGAATGGGTGTTGGGCTCACTGGGTGGTTTAGAGTTTATTTCTTTTATTAGTTAGCCTTAGGCCTCTTTGGTTTATTCTTTTATCTCTTTGTAGCCTTGGTCACTTTTGGCCTTGGCAAAACGTTGTTTTGGTTTTTAATAAGAGTTCCTTCTTTAAAAAAAAAATGTAATACTTTTAAAAAAATAATAATTAAAATATTTTTTTATATATGATTTAATATTATGACATCATATATATAAGAGAAACTTGAAAGTAACCTGTAAAAAATGATATTTACACAATTTTTGAGTTTTTAATGGTCCAATTACATTTGTTGTTTTGTTTGATAATTCAATTGCACGATGTGTAAAAGCTCAATGGTCTATTTGACACTTTTTCCTAAAGTTTAATTTGAATTATAATGTGTTTAATAGTAGTGACAAGATTTGAATAGCTACTATAGGTGAAAAAGAATTAGAATGTTATTTTTTTGATTAAAAAAGAGTATTAATTCTTTTAGAAGAATGTTTTTTTTTTTTTTGGTATCTCAACTATAATACTACTCCCAGGCTTTTGACTATCAACATTTTCAATTTTGGTGCATGATTATCCAATTGCTTCCACATTTGATCCCTCACTCAATTTTATGGCCAACCTAAGCCGGGGAAAAAACAAGAAAATAATTTTTCGCTACCTTCTATTTTTATTTTTCGATACATACTTTTTGGCTTGACTGACCTTGTTTTTTCTTTTTGGTGCCTACTTTTTAACTTAGGTTGGCCGATAAATTGAACAATGAATCAAATGAGAACGAAATTGAATAGTCATGCAACAAAATTGAAGAATCAAGGGACCAAAGTGGGAAAAAATTTATTTTCTAGAATGTCATTTAAAATTGCAGTGTAACTCAAATATTCAATTAACACATGATTTTAGGCAAAATTTTATTATAAAAGGTTATGCGATAAAAGAACGGAAAAACAACAAACTAAGTATAATAAATAAATTTCTGTTTAGTAAAAACTTTAAAATATATATGAATTCATATTTATATTTGAAAGATTAAAAGTGATTGCAACAAATATGATTTCTCTAAGGATGCTAAAAAGAATTTTTAAAAAATCACAATTATTTTCCATATCTCTAAATAATTAAATAGTTTGATAAATGTTTAATTCCTATATAAGAGATACTTTTTTTTTTTATTTAAAAAATATATACTTTTTTTACATGATTTTAATTTTATTAACACATATAATAGTGTGCGAGAACTATTTTTTGTACTCAATTTTTTACCAGAAATCAGTCTGTCTTATGGGAGAGAACAAATATAATGTTGTATAAAAATCCTGACATCACCTTCAACAACTAGGCTGTGAATCAAAGTGTTGTAGACTTTAAAGTGAAACTCACGTCTAGATGTCTATAAAACTTATTTTTAAATTTTTAAAAGTGCATCCCTTTTCTTGTTTTTTTAGTATTCTTACCTGCCCCTCTTGACGGTGCAAATTAAAGTCGTCTCTGAATTAATTTGGTCTTTGACAGTGCACACAAATTAGTTACACCACCAACTGCCAAGTCTTCTTATACCCCACTTCTACGGTGAATTAAATGTTGATAGGTTTTGCAGAAGACTCTGAAATGAGTCTTAATTATTGCATTTAATTCCCGGTTGATAGGTTTTGCAGAAGACCCTGATTTCTCTGAAGCCAACTTCTACGAATTTTTTATTTTTTTATTTTTTGAAAACAACTTCTACGAAATTGAAAATTCGAAGCTTCATAATTCCCCGAAATCAATATGTTTTGTGTAGCGGCCAATTTATTAAATAAATAATTATTAGTTTATTCCACATCTACTAATAAATTATATAAGAAGTCAATGATTTAGGATCATATGAGAACATTTGTTTAGATGATAATGTGAGAACAAATCTTGTGCACCAACCTAATTAAATTTAATGGTCTAGATTAAGTGTGTGCGAACGCGATTAAATATGTGCAAACGCGATTGGTCTAGATTGGTCTATGTGACATTGTGAGATCAAATCTTGTGCATCAATCTAATAAATTTAATGATCTAGATTGATTCAAGCTTGTTTCTAATGTGGAACCATTGAATGAATTCAGTCTCTGCAAATTGAACATCCTATTTGTTGTACTCAATAGTTTAACAGAAATCAATCTAGTCTTATTAGGGAGAGAACAAATATAATGTTGCATAAAAATCCTAACATCACCATCAACAATTAGGTTGCAAATCAAAGTGTTGTATACTCCAAAGTGAAGCTCAGGTCTAGATATCTATAAAACTTGTTTTTAAATGTGAATCGTTTTCTTGCTGTCGTGAAATAATGATTTAATTTTTTGAGTATTCTTACATGCACCTCTTGAAGGTGCAAATTAAAGTCTTCGTTCTCCGAATTAATCAACCATAGAACGTTGGTGACTGGTATTTGACAATGCATGCAAATTAACTACACCACCAACCGCCAAGTCTTTTCTAAAACTAATCACTAATAAAGACTTAATTGTCTCTAAGTCTTCTTATGTATTTACTAGCTAGGCTGGAAATCAATGGAGTGGTGTGATCTTGACTGGCGGTCAACCTTAGCATGTAATTCACATTTCATAGGTTTTAATTTGCAGAGGAGAGAGGAGTCTGATTTCTCGGAACTCGGAAGCCAACCTTAGCTTTTGCACATGCAACTTCTACGAAATTTAAAATGCAAAGTTTCATAAGTCTCAGCAATCAAGATGTTTACGATATCAGATTGATATGTTTTGTGTAGCGGCGAATTTATTAAATAAATGTTTATTTATTCCAAATTTTAATACAAGCATTAATGTATAAGCTTGTGATGGGAGAAGAAATATTAGATAGTTAGTTACGAAATTAAATGGCAAATCATTTTTTTTACTGGTGCCAGATTCTTATCCTAATACTAGTATAGAATGGTTGTGAAAAATATTAAAATATTAATTTTATTTAGAATGTCATTTTAAACGGTACTATATTCAAGTAGGTGTTGACAATAATCAAACATATGATCTTCTAATAGAGGATCATATTCAACTCACTCAGTTAGCTAAGATAATTTTTTGTGGTAATACGTGTTTAAATTGATGAATGCAAATTAAATTCAGTTAATACTCATGATTTTAGACAAAAGAAAAGAAAAAAAAAACAAACAAACAAACAAAATGCAATAAATAAATTTTTGTACAGTAAAAATTCAAAATTATATATGAATTTTTATTTATTTTTGAAATATTCTTTGAAACATCAAACGTGATTGCAACAAATATGATGATTTCCCTAACTATGGATGATGTGATAAATATGTTGGTGTATGCAAGTAAGCTAATGTACATAAGTATGCGAGATCGGGAAATTAGACACTAAGGGGGATGTATTCAATCATGACTTTTATAGAGTTTTAAAGACTTTTAAAATGATAGATTTTAATAAACTTTGATTGACTTTCATAGAGTCGTTCAAAACTTTATAAGACTCTATAAAAGTCTATATAAAAAACATTCATAGACTTTTATCAACTTTTTTATTTTAAAAAGTCTACAAAAGTCATTGAAATTCTAAATTGAATACATCCTTACAAACTTTCAATGATTTTAATTCTTATCATTTACAATTTTCTTACAAAACATTTATAATATATCATAAAATTCTTCTTATTATATAGTTCTTCACCCACATCAATATTCTCAACATTATTATTTTTATTCATAGTATGCTGAGACTTATATGCTAATTGCTTATATATCTACTATACTAATAAGAGCCCAAGAGAGTTAGGCCTATAATGGGTTGAAAAAATGGCGGTCACATATTTTAATCAAATGAATGGCTCCGATTAATTAAAAGATTGATCAAGTTTAAATTTTACACTAAAATTTCCTAAAATACCCACACACCGTTACTAATTCCGTTAAAATTTTAAGAATTGCCGTTAGTTCACCGTTAACTTACTCATTGATTTCAATAAAAAAAGGTCTTAGGTTCGAACCTCATCCCAATCAAAGTCACCGTTAACCTACTCATTGATTTCAATAAAAAAAAAAGGGTCTTAGGTTCGAACCTCATCCCAATCAAAGTTGACATAATTAGTACTCTATTTTACTCTTATTAAATTATATAAATAATAATTTAGTAGTTACAACAAAAAATAATACATATGCATTTCTTTAATTTAGAATTATGTGTCCACAAT